AATAATAATGTTATATCTGTACATTCAAAAATATAATTAAGTGTCCAAGCTCGCATGCAGCTATAAGTCTCACACTGAAGTAACTGCTGGTAGTCAACTGTATATGAGTCCATATCAACACGACTAAATAATTCAGTCCCTAATTATCCATCTGATAATGTCCGACTACACACATATGCACCTCAAGAAAGTCTTATTCTTTTCCGTTATCATATCTTGGGCGTCCCATGGTAACTATCAGTGCTGGGACGTGTGCCAGCGCAGCCCTCACACTCCATTAAGCGATCCTTGTGTGTTTCAACCCAGCCGTTTCGAGCAAATTTCAGCGTTCTCACCAAAAGACTTATTTACATGTAAATAATGCGGTATGCCCCTTATGTTTGGGCTGTCCTACACACGCATTCACGATTTTGCTGCTAGGTTGTAGCACGTCACTACCCTTTGCTTCAAGAACAAAGCTGCGCTTAAAATAAGCAACTTAACCAGGTGGTGGGGTAAACCCATCCGAAGCAACGTCCGATCACTCCCACTATTCAATAACAGTGACTGCTCGTAGAAATAAATAGGCAAACAATGTTTCAAGCAGTTCCATCAGAGAATTCGGAAGGATAGTTGGCGAGCATACGTAAGCTTTCTCACCGGGCCAATACTTTTAAATAGGACCGAGTTACAAGTTAAAACATGGTCGGCTTTTAATAAATTTTCCCGTCACAGGGACAGTCTTCTACGTTTGTTCGAAGACCTGGCGGTAGCGTCCGAAGTACTAACTTTGACCTTTCTAGCTAGTCTTCTTTTGTTAACAAGTCAACAGATACCTCATTCGGTATGTGAAAAAAAAATCGGTATACTTACTCTAGTTTTTGGTTCTAGAGGAAATTGTTGATGCAGTAGCCTCTCCAGGTCGTAATCTATGGAGGCCATTATTCTATAATTGAAAGAGCTTCTGTCTGACTTATTAAGCTTTTCGTATGCCCATTTTCCAGTGCGTCTTCTTAAGGTATCTTTAACTCCGCTCGTCAATTTCAGGTGATATTCACCTCCCCACAAAGATCAAGGAGGCTATGCAGATGCAGGTGGAAGCTGATCGAAAGAAACGTGCTGCTATTCTGGAGTCAGAGGGTCAGCGGGATGCTGAAATTAATCGGGCTGAAGGCGTCAAACGGAGCCAAGTTCTCTCTTCGGAGGGCCGGCGCACGGAAACCGTAAACCATGCGGCAGGTAAGTGGAGTTTTACATGCCTTTTCTTGCGTTTCTCCGAATTTTGTTCTGTCAAGTTGTGATATTTCAGCGACATTATGCGTAGTACAGCCTATATGATTTCCTTGGGAGCATACGCGCGAAGGTGCCACATTACACGCTTCATCCAGTCGGTTTTTCAGACTGATAGGGTCCGGCTTTCTGCTGCTTAACTCCATTGGCATACGTGGAAAATACTTTTAGCACCTTGGGCTACGACTTGATATTGTGTACTCGCGCTTATTGCTCGTGCACGTTGTCCTGTACTGTGCAAAGCGCACCCGACAAAGCGGTTACTGTTTCTGATGTTACTTATATCCGATACGGCGACGAATAAGGTCTTTACACCGAGTTAGCCGTCCTTCCTGTCTGACCGCCTAGACTGCCTCTATCAGGAAAAAAAGTTGTGGAGTGCTGCTCGCTGGTGACCGGTGATACAAGACCGCCACCCTCCACACGTGCGACTCACCATTCAAGGTTGTAAGGAACTGACCCAATAGATGCCCTACACAGGTAGATTTTTGGGGTCATGGAGGTGTCGCAACTGATTCATAGGGATCTTCGGATGCTTACGAAAACCCTCCATGCAGCATATATTGGGGCATCGATGCCATCTTCACGTCCTCCGTAACCCCTTAGGATATTTGTTTTCTGTCCAACTCCTTCAAACTGATATTATTGTTTCCATGTAAGACATCCAACGGTAGATTGAACATTATCTTTTTATAAAGTAATTATGTGTTGTAGTGAGATGATGAAATGTACTAATCCTTTTTATTTTAAGACTGTTGCAACATAGTAACCGACTAAATGCTGGACACTAGCCTAATATTTTGAATTAGTTAGTGCAATTTAAACCTTTTCATTTAGCTAGTGGATTTTGCTACTTTAACGTTATTAATGGTCCTGTTTTCTTTGTTTAGGTGAGGCTGAAGCCATCCTGCGGTTAGCAGAATCACGCGCGATGGCCGTTCGAAAACTGGCCGACGCCATTACTTCCGATGTTCGTTTTTCGCTTTATTTATTTACACCTATTTATTTCACACTTCCTCCTCTTTGCGCACCGCGTGTCTTCTTTGAATTGTAAATTAGAACAAAAGAACAATGAATTCTAGCTAAATGAATGCGTCGGAACTTAATGCGCGCAATTACTGGTTGTTAGTTTATTTGGCCTATGCTTTAGAAATCGAATTGTCCCCACCTGTTGTAAGTGACAGCCCGCTATGTGCTCAAACCTTCTCTTAAGCAATCGATACGTGGCCTTTTTCATTGTCTCCCAAGTGTGACGTGCGTCGGGGAACTTACAGTTTAGTTGATCAGCAGACGGAGTTTAACCCCGTCACAACCGACACACCGACTTACTTTCTTTAGTCCAACAGGGTTGTTTACCTTCTGCTTAGGTCATTGTCCAATTAAGATGACTCCAGCTTACATCCTTTTCCGTGGTCTTTCATCTCAAAGATCTGAAGCAGTTTTGGGGTATTTTTTTTTAAAGATTGAATTTTCTTGCCACCAACCACTCAGGCTCGACGTTTATTATTTTCCGTTTCAGCGTGGTGAAGATGCTGTGCAGATGGCCATCGCAGAGCGCTACATCGACGCCTTTTCAAAACTGGCTAAGTCCACTAATACGATGCTCTTGCCCTCCCAAGCCGGCGACGTTTCTTCAATGGTTGCGCAGGTTTGTCAATTGCTCCCATTTTTAGTGTTTTTTCTTTCTACTCGAAAAGTCTAGATTAATAATTTGTAGGTTTTCGCGCATGCTCTATCTTAATCTTTACCTTATCAGCAACTTCGCTGTGATTTACTAACACATAACGATATCTTCCACAGCTCATAAGGATGCAGTATTTTCTTAGTCAGTCCTTACAATTTGAAATTTTAATCTCAAATTTTGTTTGAACACATTGTTTAGCTTGTCTGTGAGCTCGTTTTCTTGCCTAGGAAATTAGAGTGATCCTTTTTTTAGAAGTTGTGGTTCGTTTCCTTGAGGGTTCCTTTTTCAAAACCTTCAAAATACACGAATTATCAGAGTAGCAGTTCACTACGTTTTGTGGTTACTTAAACCGACCTTTCAATACAAGTTATGGAATGTTTTTTTTT